CAATCGATAAGTAGTTCTCTTGTTTAGAGTAGCTATCACATCGTGTACCACCAATAAATAAATTAAATAAATCTGACTGCGTGTACCACCGGTGGTACACATGGCACGGAACGTGTTAATTAAAAAGAAAATTATTCCCAATTATTCCATGACAATTTACTGCAAAATGTGTCTTCACTTTTCCATACAAATGCGTCATCAAATAAAATAATGAACAACATCCACTTCGAAATTGGACGCTTTCGGTTATTATTCACTTCTTTTTTTCTCACCAAAATTACAATTCGAATCGCGAATCGAGGAGAACACTGTTCCGCGTGAGAGATTTGAAAATCGACAAACTCTCAGCTCTCAGCCACGGCGAGGGAACCTCGTTGAGAATGATTTAATAAATCGTTAATAACGTATAAATCACGATATTTGAAGTGACGAGGTGCGGGGAAATAAACCGTGCCGAGTGCCGGGATTAGGGGCGGCAGTAATAAAGTGACAATAAATTATACCGTGTACAAATTTGGCCGGCCGCGTCAGTTGGACGGCATTATTGCACATTCATTCGCGAAAGCCGATTTGTCCCGGCAAAACTTGATACGCTTAACTCAACAAAATCCTAAATTCACGATCGTAAATACCACCGGCGATATCTGGATCTCCGGTGTTCATTCCACGGCCAATCGGCTATACCGGCGAGAATTTCGGGATAGCCTGCCCGATTATTAGCACCGGAGCTAGTCTTTGCAGCAATTTGCAGCCTTTGTCGAAGACTTCGTGCTGTGATTTTAGGGGAAAAATAAAGAGAAAAAAAAAAGGAAAAAGAAAAAGGAGTTCATGTTCGACGATTGAAATGAATTTTCCAGTTCTCGGTGCTTGAATATGACTGCGTTTTCCTTTCGAGATCTTTTCTCTCCCTCTTTGGAACCCATAAGGATTCGTAAAAAAGAATCGAACTCGAGCAATTGGATACAACGTGCAGCGTTTCTAACTGTAGCTGACAAGATTTTGATCTCGATTTCCGATTACATGCAAACCATCTTTTGCAAATATGACATGTTATATCGTTTCCATTTTCATTCAATCGTGGTTCTATCTGCTGTTTGCCTTGTGTCATTATACTTTGTTCTTTTTCCTCAGTGGGCTTTTCCTGTCGAATAAATTTAAATAAAACCGCCGCGAAGTCTTCGAAAGTCGTGAGATGTAATTTGATGAACTGCATTCAATAAATACAAAATAATCGAATAAAAGAGATCGATAAAATCTTTGATATTAAGAAAACCTAACCTAAAAAGGAAATTATGAAACCTAACCTAAAACATTTATAAATTAAAGCATGATTCGATGGACGAGTATTATGTTTGCATTTCTCTTATTTAAATAAATAAATAAATATCTTTGAAATTGCGAGGCTCGATAATAACGAACGATTTTTAAATCAAGGCAAAAAGTTTCCGTCAAACAGATTCATTATGTCGCACACGTTCTCATCTTACTTTGTCCTCGTCGCTTGTCAGTCGCTTGTTATAATAAAATTCAGGGAACTTCGAATCCGAAACTCTCTCGAAACTGCGAGCTACCGAAAACTTGAAGTGTTGATACCGTTTACGCGATGACAATAATTAAGTGAAAAACTGAACTATTTTTGCTACAATGTGTTCAAGACACACTCTGCTTTTATCGTTAATAAATGGACGACAAAATGTTCGTCGATGCTATTTTTTATGATAAATATGAATGAATGAAAGAACGTCAGCTGTAAAACCTTAGGAACGGATTTCGAGGTTTTGCGAAATTACGAAACTCGAAACTCTTGAAACTTGAAACGCTGATTTTCGTCTCCACGCGGGTGGAATTTCTCGCCTCGAGGGCTGGATTTTCATGTAAATTTTTATTAACAGGATTATTAAACAATTGAATGATACAATTAAATAAGAACAACACACAAAAATAATTCATATTCTTGTTTTATGAACGCTAACATCCGAACTCTTTCCGAGTCTGATCTATTTCTATTTTTAATCAACTATTATGCCGGAAAATGTCTTTCAAAGTTGTAATGACGCTGTGATAGAATTCTTTAGATTTCAGCTTCCAGAATTAATTATTAAAAATAAATATTAAAAAAATTAAAAAAATAATTATTTTCTTGAAATTCTAAAATGCGAACTTGATTCTTTTTTACGTGTCGTTTTCTTTATTTGCCAGAAATGAAATGATATTAAGTTGAGTTTCTTTGTTATAATTGAAATTAAAAATTCGTAAAAAAAAAAAAAAAATAGAAATCGAAAATAGAAATTAAAAATTCGTAAAACAAAAAATAGAAATTAAAAATTCGTGAGAAAAAAAAAATAGAAATCGAGCGTTTGCGAAACATCTCGAGCCTTCGAGACACGAGGCAAATTGCTACCTTGCATTTTATTCTGAAGATGATACTTTCTTTCATTTCGTGATACTTTATTTACACTCACCTTGTTCGAGTTTCAAATTACCAAGAAACGAATAAAGTTCCGAGTTCATGAAACTCGAAATTTTCTTGGGTTTCGAGATACTTGGAATAATCTCTAATGAAATTCAGTATACAAGGATTTCTATGACGTCAGGAGAAACCTAACCTAAACCTAAACCTAAACCTAACCTAAACCTAAACTTAACCTAACCTAATCTAACCTAAACCTAAACCTAACCTAAACCTAAACCTAACCTAACCTAATCTAACCTAACTTAATCGTTGAATTCCGCAGGAGACTTTTTTAGTTGATGATAGTTTCACAACCCTCCAAGGACAGGACTTCAAAATTCGACAGGAATTCGAAGGCGTCGGGGACGTTTTTCGATTACGTTTCTCCGAAACGTGCGAACGACAAACACACACACACACACGAAGGCGAAAGCTGCGTGAAGTTTAATTTCGATCTAGGGCACGGACCTACCTTATCGTTTATCGTCGTTCCAAGGGAGAACTTGCGTCGTTGCTCGAAACTTGAAATTGAAAAAGTTCGTCGGCCTCGAAATTCGCATTATTTTGGTAACGCGTGGTAACTCCCCCCCGACATCATCGACTAAACTGTGTGTGTTATTTGCATTGTGATCGCGAGAAAAAATGATTCGATCCGATATACAGGGTGTCCCGATTAAACTTAATTTTCGTTCATAAAATTCTTTTGAGACACCTTGTACAGCTATTTGAATATCGCAAGATCATTATTAACGAGATGTAGAATCTCATAATTATACTCAATATGGAATCTTATTATTATTAATAAGAATTAATAATTCTTCTAACGTACATAGATTGACATATTCTTGTAAAGAATATCAGTCTTTGTCGATAGAGTTTGAAGAAAAGTAAAAAGATGCTATAAAATTTGTTATCGAAATAACGTTAATGTAAATATTAGTATATAGTATTATAGTATAGTATTATATAGTAGTATTAGTATGTAGTATAGTATTATAGTATTATAGTATTATAGTATAGTATTATATAGTAGTATTAATATATAGTATTATAGTATAGTATTATATAGTAGTCTATAGTATATAGTATAGTATTATACAATTCATATAATAAGTATTAATAAATACAGTGTTATATAATTTGTATAATTATTATTATTTAATATTATGTATTATTATTTACTTATCTGGAACGAAATCTTTTATTTTGACATAATTATTAATATAATTATTAATAATTAATAAAAAAATTTTTTTTTCTTTTATTTTGAAATCTTTTTTTCTTTTATTTTAAAATCTTTTATTTTGACATAATTATTAATAATTAATAAAAAAAAGTTGCTTGTCAAAATAATACCTTGAAATTGAATTCATCCCCTTGTTCTACAATGCATCTTAAACTATAAACACTTTTCTTGATAATTATATAGTTTTTCGCACTGTTATAAAAATTGTAAGACATACTTCAGAAGTAAGGTAAAATCGG